GGTATCTTTATCAAGAGTAAGCTTTATGACTTTACGGTGTAATTTATCATATTTTTTATAAGATTCCTCATGGTTTCCCAATAAACCGTAAGTATATGCTTGACGACTCAAAACTAGTAAAGACCTTGGAGAATCAGTGGCAGTTTGTATGAGTTTTAAAGCTTCCAATGCTGCTTCATACAACTCTTCTGCTTCTTTATTTTTGCCCTCTTTCCTCTTGTTTTTTCCTTGAGCATTTTTTGCTTTAACTATATTTAGTAGATTATCAACCCTCACATCATCGCTTATTTCTATTAACTTTTTATCTACCAGTTTTTTGTATAGCGATTCCACTTTTGAGTTAACCAATATCTCAAGTGCACTATCATACTTGTCCTGGCGGATCAATTCAAGAGACCTACTATTGAGTAAACTTAAAACTTCCTTTGTTAATATAACTTCCCTATCATCTTTGCTATTATAAGAGCTAATTTTCTTGTCCAATATATCTAAAATTTCTTCTGCATGTTTATCATCATATAATATAGTACGTATGTTTTCAGCATCGATATTTTCTTTCTCAAGAACCTTAAAAACTTCTTCATACAAGTTGAGTTTTTTACTCTTGACACATAATAATTCATCAAGATAGGTTATATATCTATTGTCTTCTAATAAAATTTTTATTAGCCTTTTCAAATTGTCTTTTTCAATTACCTCGTCATTTTGTACTTTTACTATCAAGCTAGCAATGTAAGGTGCTGTATATTCTGCTTTTGCTTTCAGTAATTTTTTAATAATTCTATATACATAATCTGGATTTTTAAGCTCGAATTTTTGTTTTTCACGACCTAATTTTACATCTCGTTTCACCAAAAAGTCTAAAAATATTTTATCACTAAATGCTTCTTTTATATTATCAAATTTAATTTGATACTCATTATACGCATTGTAGAATACTTTAAGTATATTATGAACAACTTTAGCAACATTTATTTGTGTACCTTCTATATCTATAGTCCCACCTTTCTTAATATTGTTAAGAATTTCTTCAATGGATTCTTCTGCAGGGCGTGATAATTCACGGTTTCCTAGTAAATTTTCATGATTTTTAAAAAGGAAATCTTCCTTTTCTTTCATAACACAATCATATAAGGAGATAATATCTTGATCCGAAAGTTGATCTTTTCCAAGTTCCTGTAAATGCTTTAAACTCTTTAAATTCGTCACAATACCTGCAATCATGTCTACATGTTCGTTGTCTACAGAGAGCCCTATCATCATCTTATTAAAATCACTTTCTTCTACACCATATTCATTACAAAATTTCTTTTGCAACTCTTCCTTCTTTTCCTCTAGCT